CTAGAAGGTAACCCACATCAAAGCTGAGATTCAGATGGATTTGGCCTCTTATTTCCTGATATTTGGACATCTCACCTCCGATTGGCTAACAGCAACACGACTACCACTAACTCTGCTCTGCAGCGTTGATGTTTTATCTCCACAAATAACTCAAGCCTGGAGGAGTTATGCTGTGTGGTGGAACTGCTAATGCTAACAGTTAGCTTATACTAGTCTTGGGACCACATAGGCCAATGCGTGCTTGCGAACTATGGACTCTCGTCTCGTACATGGACTGCTTGTCCGGAACCTCGTGCCCCATGAACTGAACTGTATGGCCGGCGGACATCGGCCCTTTTATCCACTCATGGAGTCAACTGCCCGCCGGCCTCCCTCCTTCCACACTGCTACCTGCATGGACGACGACACCCCTGGTAGAATGTCCGCAATCAGACTTAGTTGTGTGCCACCTGCGTGGGTGGCTCCTCCTCGTTATGTGCGTGGGGACTATCCAGTTTCCTATCCCCTCTTGTTCTTTTGCCTGACCAGGATCCAAGACCAAGACAAAGACCAAAGACGACCAACGTTCCTGAGGAACGAACCCATCTGTGCTTCCGACGATCGAGCTCTGGCGCGATCCCTGAAACCAAAAGGGGGAATGTTGGGGTCCTGCCCTCATGAGAAAATTACTACGCAGTATTTTCTCCAAAGGACTGTGCCATCTACGCCCTGAAGCGTAGACAATAAAGCAAGTTAATATCAGCGCCAGCAGGGACTCCGTGTCCCATGATCCTCTGCAGCCGGCAGCAGCTTGATGAAGTCATCAAGTGACGCCAAGTCTGACACGCTCCAGGTGGATACCGACCCCTACAGAGACCACCCGATGGACGAGTCTATAAAGCCGAGGCGAGGTGTAAGGAGACACCCCCCCCCCCCCCCCCCCCGCCGCCTCTGCTCATACCGCTCCGGACAGCGCGTGCATACGGCCTAGCGGCTGAGATCAACAGAACCACGCCATCTGATCTGCTCAGCCCGGACACAGAGGGACGCCTTGTGTTCGTTCATGCAAGATTTTTTCCTTTTTTAAATCTCTCTCTTTCTCTCCCGCTTCTCTAACAGTCCAACACAAGCGGTCGACCACGTGGCTGCTTTAAATTAACAGACGGACTCTCTCTTCCGTACCAAAAACGCCAACGGATCATCTCAGAGTAAGCTCTGTTTCTTTCATTGTTTAATATCTAAGTTTGTTTATGCTGTGGCCAGGCTGACAGACTGTTCAGATATGTGATTTGCTTTTATGACTGATCTGTTGTTGTTGTTTTTTTTTTTTTTATCTTTGTGAAGCGATTTGAAGTGTTTTGATTAAGTTTACTGTGAACGTTTGCTCACACACAGTTCGATCCTTTGGTCAGCCAAACAAAGGATCCGCCATTTTGTTTCAAAACTCCCTCCAGTTTGGTAGTCAGCCTATCTCTGCCTGATTACATCATCAAGCAGCCTCACTATTGCTGGATTACATCATCATCTCACCCCACCGGTCTGATTAGGTTGTTACTTCACATTATCATTCCATGGTTTCATTGCTTGTTGTTTGTTTGATAAAATCAGTTGGTTGGTATTGATTTGCTTGCGCTTTGAAGGAGCTATGGTGATTGTATTAGTCAATAAATGTTATTGCCAATTAAGTTTTGTCTCAAATGAATTTGTCTGTGTGGATAGAATATGACCGCTGCTCGTTAAAAGAATTTTACGAACTTTAGACAGATTGATAGAGGTTTGGATTCCTTTTTCCCCTATTAAAGAGGTGGTGCCCCGAGGTATGTCCACGGATATCCTAATTACGTAATAAATCGGTAAATATTTCCATATTTACGAATTTTATTGATGAATCCAAAGAGTAAGTAAATCTTACACATTATTTGTTGGCTAATAACCACAACACTAGTCAAGATGTTCTCTGCTGTTTCCTGGACATTAAAACAGCCTTCCCCGTCGTGAGTCAAGATGGGTGAGTCTATGACTGCAAAGTGACAGTGTGATGTAGATCTGTCATGCTTTTCAAATCCTAGCATTTCACCATCTATTTTCTATCAAAAGCTAATGCAGGAGACCATTTCCATGCTCAGCCTGCATGACAACCACAGAGTGACCGATTATGATCAGAAAGATTTTAAAATGTTTTTTCTGTGTTTCACACCTTTAAGCACTTTCAAAATCTGGAATGCTGAAATTCAAACATTATTTCAGGATTTTAAACACCTCTAAACCCCACTAATAACACAGAAAACTGAATTTAATTGTATACGTAGTCTGACAAAATGTTTTAAAAGAAGACAATAATACTAAATGAACATGTCATTTATGTCTACAGCACAAATCAGAGCCTATGAGCTCCTTCTTTACTAAATGAGGAATGCCTCTCATCATGACAGTACAACTAAAAGGCACAGGAAATGGCCTTGAGATCACACACACACACACACACACACACACACACACACACACACACACACACACACACACATCCCATTGTTGCCTGGCCAGACAGCGAGTTTAACCTCACAGTCAGAGACACCCACAGACAGCCCCTGGTGTATCCTGGTGTTCTGGTGTGCATTAGGACATGACTCAACAGGAGAAGAACAAGTGATGTTTCCCTGCTGGAGGAGCTTCCTGTTCAGGGACATAAACGCTGCTAAAAATACTCATTACCCTTTGTCCAGATGTGCTTTTCCCTGCAGACAGAAAAAAAGGGATGAAGAGAGAAAAGAAAAAAACAAGCAAATGGAAGGAGCTTGTCTCCGTGTCGTCATGCCTTCTGGGGATATTTAAATTTGAAGCTAATGGAGCTGATAAATCTTTGAGTCAGGAAGAACTTGATGATGTTTAAAGAAGCCGTGAGCTCGTTCAGTCAGATGACTCAAGGTTCTGCTGCTTTACAACCCATGCAACGGTCCCTGCCTCAGCTAAAAACGCTGCTTATGTGCAAACAGCCCTGCGAACAGTGCTGACAAGCACATACTTGAAGTAATTTAATTAAGTCTGCTTCAGTCTTTAGCATCTTAGCATTAAAGTCATCTGGGTGATAATTGTAATCATCCTCTACTAATGTATTGATCTTGAGGTTTTCAAATTAAAGCGTCACGTTTATATAGTCTCTGTGTATTTGGCTAATGTGAATATGCTAGTAGCCTTTATTTTCAGGTCTCAGTAGTCAGTGTTCCTCCTGCTTCCTCCACGAGGCTTTTTCCCCCTCCACTCTTGTTCCTCCGTTAACTCAGAGGACATAGCTGAACACGGCATTCCCCTCAAATCTCATGTTTGTCCTCCTAGCTCCATATGAAAGTTATGCAAAAACCAAAAGATTTTTTTTTCTTTCTGGTTATTATTTTCCCTCTTTTTATCTGCTCTTCACATCACTTCAGCAGCAACTTCCCTTTCTTATGTGAAAACATCATAATAGCTGGAAAACATTCCACTGGAGGAGACCACATTCAGTTTCTGATGTCTGAGTGAGTCATGAAAGACTGCGTAGGAGGCTGTGAAGGCAGGTGAGGTGGACGCAGGAGGGAAAATAAGAAGCTTTTGTCAATACTCCAAGTGGCCTTACGGTAGGTGGTCATTAAAGATCTGAAGGGCAGGCAAACAATTACCAGAATGACACAACAATCCATAACGCATCAACTAATGCATCTGTCTGTGCGATCTTACGAAGATAAGCTTTTTTTCTGATTTCAACCCATAGGTCCAGACTCCTAACCGCTGTTTCTGGTGCACAGATAACAATGTAGGCTTGCATCTGGACAGGGAAGTGTGATGGATGTCAGTTCTGATCACACACTTGTTATTTGACATGTTTGTACAAATAGCCGGACTACCGGGACAGCAGAGACAACAGTAATCCCTGATCTTGCTCAGCACTGGGCTACGACCACATCTCATCCCTGCCAGAGTGTCCAGATGGCGTACACGGATATCCGCTCCATCTGCCAGCCCAGAGACGTACAGTGGCCAAGCAGATTACCGCTTCCCTGACACACTGATCTACAAGCATACCTCCACTCTGTAAGTACTGGGAAATACGAGGTGAAAAGTCAGAGGCAAACCAGAGATCCCAGCTGAATGTAGGTCACCGTGACATTGTGCATACCCCACTGATCGTTGGAAAGATCACGTACAGACAGAAAGGTGTCACTAGCAAAACTTGGAGTGCGTGTCAATCTAGTGAATGATCCCAGAGTGTGAATTTTTAAAGCTGGGTTGACTGATGAGAAAAGCAAGTGAAGGCCCTCTCTGTCTGTGTGTCACAGAGTGGGGTTAAGAGGATTACCGCGACGCCTCTGCCTACCCTGGATACCCAGCGCTGTGGAAATCCCACAGCAACCGACCACAGCCCACAATCCAGGTCAGCTCACTCTCAGAAAAAAATGCAGCGCTTGTATGTCATCCAATCACCATCTCCAATCATCGTCATCCAATCGCAAACTATTAGGTCTTAGATCATCACGCTCTTTGATGTTGATTTAAATAGAAAATAATGACCAAAAACGCGAAAAAAAGAGAGAATTCTAAAATCAAAGTGTTATCAGAGCCAAGAACACAGTCCAGTCCTCTTAAATTCCTCCCACAGCATTTAATGAGTAAACGAAAAAGGGTCCAGGCATCAGACCAAAATCCATCAGACTGGCTGGTCTAATAATAAAACAATCTGAAGAGCTGCAGGGCCTCAAGCTCAGTCACAGAAAAGATGAGTGCTGAAACATGAAGCTTTTTACACTTTAGATTCCAAACACATCCAGCTAATACAGATTTGCGGCTGGCAAACCTTTATTGAACCCAGATGCAAGACTAGTTCACAGAGGCAGACGTGCTTTCAGACATGGATCTTTCCACGCAGCAGCGCAGAGAAACAGATCTGTCAAAGTCAGGGCCAAAAAGCGCCTGGCAGCCAGCTCTTACAGCTGCTTCGTAAAACGCAGACGCTGACGCCACCACCATGACCGTAAACTCTAAATACTCACAAAACAAACAAAAGGAAGTCCCAACAGGAGCTTGGCAGTTTGGCACGTCGCAGACCCATGCAGAGAGGAGGGTTAAATCTGATGGAGACACGCAGAATCGTCTCACACGCGATGTTAGTTATCTGGGATTTATACGAGAAGCTGCGCTCGCAGTCAAAGACAACACAAAGATTAGGTCGGGAAATCATAAAATCCTTTCTCATTCGCCAACTTCTGTTCCTGAATCCATCACGAAGTCCCGAATGAGGGGGAACGGCGCTTTCTTTGGCGGCGGGCTGGGAAGCGTGTGCAGCCGGTGAGAGTATGAGTTCATGGGGTGACGGGGTGAGTGTGTTAAAGGTTTAGTAAAGTAGACAGATGAAGAATGCGATGAAACCTCCAGCTGTGTCGGCAGCTGCAGCTTGTCCCCAAACAGGAGAGGGGATGGGGGTGACAGTGATGGCGGCCAGCGGTTCATAGCTGAGGGGACGCCTCCTGCAGTGCGTTCAGCCCTATATGGCTATACAGCAGACACTGCAGGCACACACTCGTGTATGAAGATACAGAGAGAAAGAGAAACAGCTACATGGACAAAAGAGGGGACTAACAAGTACTAATCGTCCATTTGTGCAAGAAGCATTCAGCTAAGATTATAATTACAACAAAAAAGCAGAGTGGAAATTTTGGTTGGAGATATTTTCTAAGAAATTGTTATTACAACACTGCCGCAGACAGAAGGCCAAGGTTGCCCAACTATGGTCACAGAAGCAGCAGGCTGAGGTTTGAAGATTATTCCTGTGCACCACAGGCCTGTTCCAATAAATATCGACATTCCTCCAGCCAAATTCATTAGAGTCTGGAGCGTGAAAAGTTTACAACCGGCCCCAGGGGAGCAAAGGAATCAAAACGGTGCTTTGGTTTAAAACTTTTAAAAAGTGCCAAAATTGAGTTGGATCATTCCCTTCACCGTCTTATAACTTTTACAACACAAAAATAAACTCATTACCATTCAAGAAAAATGATGTGTTCAAAATGTGTCTCAGAGCCGAGAATCGTGAGTCAAGTTGCTAATTTTACATAATATTGTCAAAACAGCTGCACTGGCATCTGCGGGGAGTTTCTAGGTTTAATGCAAAATGCTAGAACGGCAGCATGCATTCAGCAGCTAAAGCAGCATTACTGCAAGCAAAATGCACATCAGTTCACTGTATTATGTTTTATGTGTCAAAGGGGGGTAGGATTTAATAAGCATCAGCTTCCTCAAACTCCTTTTTGAACAGAATATGATCACTTCATTTTTTATATGATTATCAGTGTGATTTTATATTTCATGTCTACAATGACTTTGTTATTATTATTATTATTATTATTATTATTATTAGGCTCTCGATTTACCGGTCGATCTACGTCCCAATCCTCACCTATGGTCATGAGCTTTGGGTAACGGCCGAAAGATTGCGATCGCGGATACAAGTGGCTGAAATGAGTTTCCTCCGTAGGGTGGCCGGGCTCAGCCTTAGAGATAGGGTGAGGAGCTCGGACATTCGGGAGGGACTCGGAGTAGAACCGCTGCTCCTCCGGATCGAAAGGAACCAGTTGAGGTGGTTTGGACATCTGGTCAGGATGCCTCCTGGATGCCTCCCTGGGGAGGTGTTTCAGGCACGTCCTGCTGGCAGGAGGCCCCCGGGTCGACCCAGGACACGTTGGAGAGGTTACATCTCCAATCTGGTCTGGGAACGCCTTGGGGTCCTGCCGGAGGAGCTGGTGGAGGTGGCCGGGGAGAGGACGGTCTGGAGCTCCCTAGTTGGGATGCTGCCCCCGCGACCCGGACCCGGATAAGTGGAGGAAGATGACGACGATAATAATAATAATAATAATAATAATAATAATAATAATTATTATTATTATTATTATTATTATTATTATTATTATTATTATTATTATTATCATTATTATTATTATTATTATGTTCGAAATAAAGATTTCCTTCAGTCATTCAGTTCCCTGCAGGGTTTAGTAGACAACTTTTTGCTAAAGCTGCATCAGTAAATCCTTATATTATATATTTTGAATAAACACCTTTATTTTTAAGGGATTTGCAATGAATAAAATTAGACTATCATGCATGAGAATTTTTCAATAAAGTGTAAATTGGATAAAAATCTAAAAGTAATCGGCATCGATGCTCATAAAATATTAAATAACCAAATTATTTTTCCATCATTAGTTTTCAGCCAGAAGCGGTTTTCTGCAATGACCAGAGCTCAAATTAACCGTGGAGCATGATGATTATGGTCATTGCTGTCGCCTGCTGTCTCTAAATTTGTGAAAAACAAGCTCAAAGCCTCAGTCAGTTTAATCCTGATGAGATGTAACGTGTGCATTGTTGAAGGTTTCTTAAATATTTAACTTTGGTACAAAGCAAGTTTTACAGCAACATTTTAGGAAACAAAAGCTCCTTCTGATCATTCCATGCACAAGCTGATGCCATTCTTCTGCTGACTGCACTTCCTGCACTAAAAATCGATGTTTGTTTATCTCAGAGGCTGATGGGTTTAAACTTACAGCAGCTGACTGTGTCACATTGTGGGCGTGAAAAGTTGAATCGGGGTTCAACAAGAAAACAGACGATCTGTGTGGTTACTGGTTCTGGATAAGAGAAGCTGCCACAATTGGAAGCAACAGGTGAGGAGTTAAAATAGTTCAATGTTCATTCTGTTGGCATCATGGAATCCTGAAGGGAGTCTTTGTGATTCCTTTTTTAATCCAATGGGTGACCAGATCAACATTTGCAAAATGGTACTAAACACTACCAACAGATGCTGCAGGGGTTTTCAGATTTGATCATAAATCAAATCCTAAAGAGGCATCCTAGCCAGATGCCTAAGCCACCTCACCTGGCTCCTCTCGATGTGGAGGAGTAGTGGGTCTACTCCGAGCCCCTCCCACATGGCCGAGCATCTCACCCTATCTCTAAGGGAGAGCCCAGACCTCTTGCGGAGAAAACTCATTTTGACAGCTTGCATCCGCGGGCTCATTCTTTCGGTCACTACTCAAAGTTTGTGACCATAGAGGTAAATTGAGAGCTTTGCCTTCTGGCTCAGCTCTCTCTTCACAATGACAGACCGATGCACACTGAGTTGCCTTTGTGTACGAACATAAATAATACTGTCTTGTCTTGTCTCCGCTTGAGGCAGGACCTCGTTCCTGACATGGAGAGGGCATTCTGCCCTTTTCCGACTCAAGACCATGGTCTCGGATTTAGAGGAGCTGATTCTCATCACAGCTGCTTCACACTCGACTGCAAACCGCTCCAGTAACAGCTAGAAATCACGTTCTGATGGAGCCAACAGGACCACATGATCCGTAAAACGGATCCCCTCAACGCCTAGAAATCCTGTCCATAAGAGTCATGAACAGAATCGGTGACAAAGGGCAGCTTCTGCAGAGTCCAACTCTCACCCGGAACAAGCCTGACCTACTGCTAGTGTGGACCAAGCCTTACAGTGATCATACCTAAATGCCAGTATCAAGGGGCCTGGTACCAGATACTCATAGCATACCCCCCACAGGGCCCCCTTTAGGAACCCAGTTGAACGCCCTCTCCAAATCCACAAAACACACGTAGTTGGGCGAACTCCCACTCGTGTATTATGATACTGAATCGATATTTACAAGCTAGATCAATTTCACTAAGAATTTACTGGCCTGAATTATCCAAGCAAATTCAGTCCTATCATCTGGCTTTGAGTATCGTCTCGTCTTCTCTGCATTGTGATTTAAATCTATCACCAGATTTTTGCCAATACACACCCTTAATGAGTCATAGCAAGATGGTCTGTTGTTTGATTCCAAGATGGAACTTTTCTGGCTAGTGTAAGATTTTTTTTTTGTCTCTATGAGCTCTGGGCATTCATCAAACTACATTATAATCCAACAAATACCGTCTCTGACCCAACATAAAGGACTGGCTTACATCCCCGAACCCATGTTGATTAAGTGCTAAAACGGACTACATTTAGAAGTTTTTAATGTTAATACAAAAACACTCCTTCATTTCAGCCCAACTGTGCCAGATTGTAAGCCATGTTTCATTAATTCGCCTTTAATTGCTCTCAAAGCCTCTCATCTCTCATACGTTCTGTGACCAGAGAAGGATGACACTAATCCTTCAGTTAATGCCGTTCACAGAGAAGCAGAAAAAGTGAGTGAGTGTATGAGTGACACACTTACAGGCATGCTAGCATCTACTGCTGTGAAAGTCAGTCCGCTAATCTCTCATCTCTCTGGGCCAAGTATCATTCTCCTCTTTCCACTTCTTTTACAGCCGCTTTACTTTGAAGTCTTGACCTGCCGTGGTCTAAACTCCTGTTTTGTTGATGCACGCTGCCAGCTGTAAACATCCTGCCAGTTGACCCAAACTCAGCTTGCTTCATCTTGCAAAGCTCATGTCCATTCTCATCAGGAATCATCTGAAGTACAAAGTACACCTAAATAAAGTATTTTATTGAAGAGTGCATTGGGATGGGGTGTGAAGAGGGTTCCAGAAATCCCTCTTTAATTATTTTTTTCCAGCAGTGGGATGTAAAGAAAAGGCGGTGCTGGTGCAAACCGTTTTCAAACACACTGGTATGTGACCTATGACGTCAGGTGGTCAGCTACCAGCTGTCACTCTCTGAATATACATGTGTTGCGTGCATGTTGTCTTCTGTGCCTGCGTGATTTCATTAGAGTGAATGTTCAAAGACTTTGCTCACTTGTATGTGATTTTTTTGACCTACATACTACTCTCTATGATCAACTCTAAGGAAATCTGTTTTAATCAGTTGCTCCTCATTTCGGGCTCTTTGCTCTCGGGGTGACAAAGCAGGTCAGCAGACCTCATTATGACTGAAAAACATCAAGCCTGGATTTTCATTTCTTTGAGCTGCCAATTCCCAACAACTGCTCCAACTGTTTCCACCTTAGCGAGGTAAAACGCTCGTCAGATGAAACCAAAACTATTGCACCGAGGGCTCTTATATATGAATTAGGGACGCTTCGATCTGATTACGTGGTAAGAAATGGAGATTTTAAAAAATTTGAAATCTGTGAAAAAGATCAGATTTTAACATTTTAAAACAGCAATCTCATCCTGAGATAGAAATTTTCAAAGGGAACAATAATGGCTTGGTTTTAATCTCAACAACTTCCTCTACATGAGTTTTCTTTATTTCTCGGAAGAAAACACCATTACCTCACACAATTTACAACAGGCGAGGATTTCAGACACCATAACATGCAACTGTTAGCTATTAGGCTAACGCAGAGCTAACATGTCCCACAGAAGACCTAAAATGTCTGTGCTACGGCGGTATTTTAAACCAGACAGCGAAGGCAGGGTATCAGCCACTTGGAATTTGTGCATATGGGCATTTAACATGCCGTAAAAGACAGCTGCATGGTAAACTGCCTTCAAAATGAACAACTTTGTCTGTCAGGTCTCATTCGGCTTATTTCTCTTCTGGCGCCATCACAGCGAACCATCAAGTCTTCATTAAGGCCCAGTTTACAGCGACATCTCTAAAACAGAAACACGGAGCCAGCCAACAGTGAAAAGTACGTTAACAAACACCAAAGCTGACTGCACCAATCATTGACATGAATACGTAAATGCGTCAGTGGGCATTGGATAGTGTAACAGCATCGCCGCCATATTGGATGTTTTTCCCACTCTAAAAACCCAACTGGAGTCAACATTTTAATTATGATGCCATACCATGTAAACAATTTTGTTAAAAAATTATAATCAAATGTGTTTTTTAGTTGAGTAAACATCTTCAGTAGAAATACAGGTACTGGGGGCGATTGGAGACCCATCCAAGATGGCAACTCAGTCCACGCTGCATTTATGTATATGATGTATGTGGCGCCGATAGGGAGCCTAAGACACTTCTGCCTCATGGGTCCCCGGAAGAACAAAAAAATGAATGCAAGTCAACGGGGCTAAAAACGCTATTTTCTAATCCGCTTTGCCTAACCACACATACCACACGTATCACACGTAATCGGAAGGTTGCAGGTTCGAGCCCCGCTCAGTCTATCGCTGTCGTTGTGTCCTTGGGCAAGACACTTAACCCACGTTGCCTGCTGGTGGTGTTCGGAGGGACCGGTGGCGCCAGTGCTCGGCAGCCTCGCCTCTGTCAGTGCGCCCCAGGGCAGCTGTGGCTACATTGTAGCTCATCCCCACCAGTGTGTGAATGTGTGTGTGAATGGGTGAATGACTGATTGTGTTGTAAAGCGCCTTGGGGGGTTTCAAGAACTCTAGAAGGCGCTATATCAAATACAGGCCATTTACCATTTTACCATTTACATATGTTGTACTACAGTTTAAGTGAAAAGTAATGATGGGTGTTTCGACCACGCCAGTCACGTACTTTGACATTTATTAGCTTGTAAAAGTTCGTAATTAGCATGACTACATACCACAAATCGGCACGTCACATATGTGACGTCACCACATAATCTCCTCTCCTCTAGCATAGCTGCTACTTACCACATGACCAGATTTATGGTGGTTCTTCCGTCCTGTGGGAAGTTTGCTGAACTTGCAGCCATTTTCCCTCAGTTTTCTCCATGTCTGTTTCGATTACGTCACTTTCGTGAGGCATATTTGTAAACCTGGACTTATTTTCACACAAAACCTAAAACAGCGTTTCCCCCCGTTCGAAAATAAGCACGTTCCTGGGATCAAAATGCGTCTTTAAAATTCACGGACATCATATGTGAAATCCCTAGCACAAAACAAGCGGAAT